TGGGGAGGGGGGGGGGGGGGGGGCGGGGGTGGTGGGGGTGGGGAGGGGGGGGGGGGGGGGGCGGGGGTGGTGGGGGTGGGGAGGGGGGGGGGGGGGGGGCGGGGGTGGTGGGGGTGGGGAGGGGGGGGGGGGGGGGGCGGGGGTGGTGGGGGTGGGGAGGGGGGGGGGGGGGGGGCGGGGGTGGTGGGGGTGGGGAGGGGGGGGGGGGGGGGGCGGGGGTGGTGGGGGTGGGGAGGGGGGGGGGGGGGGGGCGGGGGTGGTGGGGGTGGGGAGGGGGGGGGGGGGGGGGCGGGGGTGGTGGGGGTGGGGAGGGGGGGGGGGGGGGGGCGGGGGTGGTGGGGGTGGGGAGGGGGGGGGGGGGGGGGCGGGGGTGGTGGGGGTGGGGAGGGGGGGGGGGGGGGGGCGGGGGTGGTGGGGGTGGGGAGGGGGGGGGGGGGGGGGCGGGGGTGGTGGGGGTGGGGAGGGGGGGGGGGGGGGGGCGGGGGTGGTGGGGGTGGGGAGGGGGGGGGGGGGGGGGCGGGGGTGGTGGGGGTGGGGAGGGGGGGGGGGGGGGGGCGGGGGTGGTGGGGGTGGGGAGGGGGGGGGGGGGGGGGCGGGGGTGGTGGGGGTGGGGAGGGGGGGGGGGGGGGGGCGGGGGTGGTGGGGGTGGGGAGGGGGGGGGGGGGGGGGCGGGGGTGGTGGGGGTGGTGGTGGTGGTGGTGGTGATGGTGGTGGTGGTGGTGGTAAGCATTAAGAAATGTGTTCAAAAATCAAAACAGTTAGTAAATTCCCCCTTGGGGTAGGTTGTCTGGACTTCACTGACGACTGTGGTAGAAATAGATGGTCTTGGGATAATGACTGGGAAGCAGAGCCCCAATGAAGCCTTCTTCCTTACCTCTTCTTCATGTAGGTCTGCTGCAAGTGAATGTGGAGGAGGTCGGGTTCCCTTTAAACGATGGTGAAAAGCCACTTTTCCACAGCTCCCACCATCCCTCTGCCTTTTCCTCTTTCAGCTAAGAATATTTATTTATTTATTTTTGTTTTGTGTATATGGGTGTATGTAAGTATGTATGTAAGTCTGCATGTATGTAAGTCTGTGTACCATGTGCATGCCTGGTACCCTGGGAGGCCAGGAGAAGGCACTGGATCCCCTGGAACTGGAGGTAGAAAGGGTTGTGAGCTGCCGGGCGTGGATGCTGGGAACTGAACTCTGGTACTCTGCAAGAGCAGCAAGTGCTCCTGACTCTGAGCCATCCTAGCCCCAGCTCGACATCGTTTAACTCTCTCTCTCCTCTATGAGCATACTTCCTGTGGTCTAATGTCTGAGCAATGGCTTTGCCTTGTATTTATGCTTGTATTTTATTTTTGTATGTAATTATTTATGGGACTTATTGCCTTGTCAGCTGTGCTTTTCTCTTGGAGGTGACTGAAGCAGAGCTTAGAAGCCAGAACTTGTGTTTTTGTAGTAGCCTCCCTCCTTGACTCACTTTGTTGTCCAAATTTCATTTATTTCCTCATTCTCCCTCCATATTTCATCTTTCCGACCTCTTCAGAGTTTCTTTCCCCCTTAGTGCTTTAACTGTTTACCATTTTTACATGTATTTGTTTTTTATTTTGAGTGAGAGGGAGACTCATACCCCTAGCAAGCATGTGGAGGTCATAGGACAACATACAACGTTGGTTCGTATCTCAGTCACAGTTTTCTTGCTGTGAAGAAACACCATGACCAAGACAACTTATAAGAGAGAGAATTTATTGGGGACTTGTTTACAGTTTCAGGGGGTTACAGTCCATGACCATCATGGTGGGGAGCATGGCAGCAGGCAGGCAGGCAGGCAGGCATGTTTCTGGACCAGTAGCTGAGAGTTTACATGGGATATACACACACATACACACACACACACACACACACACACACACACACAGAGAGAGAGAGAGAGAGAGAGAGAGAGAGAGAGAGAGAACTGGGACTAGCATAGGCTTTTGAACCCTCAAAAACCACCCAGTGACATGTATATTTCAACAAAGGCCACACCTCCTAATCCTTCCCAAATGGTTCCACCAACAGAGACCCAAGCCTTCAAACTCTGGCAGGCCATTCTCATTCAAACCACCCCAGTTCTCTCCTCCTACCATGAGGCTTCTGTGGATTGATGTTAGGCTGTCAGTTAGCAAGAGCCTCACTGGCTGAGCTATTTTTGCTAGCCCTTAACTCTTAAAATACTTATAGAGGTATTTCATACAGTTACCTCCCTTCTCCTCCTTCCCTGCCCTCCTACTTCCCTTGTGAGTAAGTTTATATGAACCAAAAATATTATTCCAGATCCTATACAGTAACAACTGTCAGTCATTGTTTTAAAGCTGTTTTCTACCAGTTTGGGTCTACAAATATTGACAAAGTAACTTCAGGGCATATTTTTGGATGAAGATTCATAATACACCTGGTAGCCAGGAACCCTCAATGCTCAACTAAATAATAAAGGCCATATGTAGGTAAGTAGGCCAATCACATGTAGAATCTAAAACCACAAGTGAATAAAACCACACCTAGATAAATAAAGCTTTTAGATGTGTGTGTGAATATATATATATATGTGTGTGTGTGTGTGTGTGTGTGTGTGTGTGTGTGTGTGTGTGTATCATTTGGGGTTTGTGGATTGGATATTGAATATTATAGTTTATACTTATATTTTTCTCTGCCTTTTAAACATTTCTGGTTTTTATGGTGTACAGAGAGAGAGAGAGGGAGACAGCCTCATACTCAGTAGTAGTATATGGGTTTAGAAAAATGGCTCACTTGTGCTTGCTGCTCTTCTAAAAGACCAGAATTCAATTCCCAATACCCATGTCAGGTGGCTTGCAACAGCCTGCTAATACACAGCTCCAGGGGATCTGACACCCTGTTCTAGCCTCCCAGGGTACCTACCTGCCCCCCCCCCACTTAGACACAGCTTTCGTTATACATACATACATACATACATATATATATATATATCTAAGGATAACTTTGAACTTGTGATTCTCCTGACCCTGTTCTTGCGTTCTGAGAATACAGATGTGTTCCACTATGCCCAGTTTTCTGTGGTGGTGACAACTAAACCCAGCACTTGATGTGTGCCAGGCAAACAGTCTACCCAACAGAGCCCCAGCTCCAGCCCTCACAAATCTCTAGTGGAGTCCATAATTAAAAAGGGTTGCAGATGGTCAGTGGAGATTACTTCAGTCTGTAATTTTGTATGCCGTCTAACTTCTTTTCCTGACATTCACCTCCTACACCACACAACTGACCGCGCCACTCCCTAGCAGGAAGAAATCCTGTTGGATTCAGGTTGCTTATGAAATAAAGCCTATACCTCCCCCCCCCCCAGAGAAAGAGGGTGAGCAGCAAGTGTTGGGACGCTGCTCTCTAGGATTTTCTTTTTGTTTCACAGTGCTGTAGAAAGAGGGAAAGCAAACTATTGTTATCACCTTGGGGTCAGATGGCATAGCTGAAACTCTGTGCCCATCATTTGTGACCTAGGCTAAACTTCTTACTGTCTCCATGCTTCTTGGGCTTCCTATGTAAAATAAACGAAACAGTAATTTTGCTTCATAGAATAGTGAAATAACACACGTAGATTAAATAATGGAAAGTGGTGCTTTATACTTGTGCAATTCTAAAATGTTTAACCAGTCTTAGAAGGCCTTCCACAGGTAGGGTATTGCTATGGCTTACAGTGACTCCTGAAGTCCTAATGTTGGAAGTGTAATTCCCAGCACAACTGTTGGAGCCGGCACTTAATAAGCAGTGATTGCATCCTGAGGCTCCTGCCTTCATAAATCACTGATGAACGTTTTTTGCAGAGTAGGTTGGCTGTCTCAGCATTTGATTGTTGAGAACACAAGTTCAGCTCACTCTTGAGTCTTTCTTCGTTTTTTGCCCTTTTCCCTTCCACCGTGACCTGCATGCAGTAGCATGAAGGCCTTTGTTGCAGCCATATGTCTGACTTCCCCACTTCCTAAGCCATGAGCAGTCTCAGCTACTTTGTTACATTGATAAAACACAAGACAGAAATGGAGATAAGTTTAATACATCCCAGTCAGAGCAGAGTTCTTCAAAGAAATGACAAGCTGAGATGTGACCAAAGTGGGAGCCTTGCAGGCAGTGACAACAACATGCCCTGTAGCAGAGCTGAGGTAGAGAGAGAGAGCTGGGAGGGAGGAGGGAGAGCTAAGGCTGACCTCGAAATAGCAACTTACTTCATTTGCATAAGCCAGCAGCCCCACAAAGCCCCCCACACAACACTCAGAAATTGAACTCAACGCCTTTTTTTGTTTTATACATACAAACAGTATAAAATGTTTATTATGTAAGAGCTGTGTTTCGTTTACAATATATTATATTGTTTCCATCCAATGAAAAGACTTCATACATTATATTCCTTATATCGTTGTGTTTACAATATATTATATTGCTTAAATGCCACTAACACAGTGTAATTTTTTTTAACTTCGTTCCCCCCTCAAAACTGTCAAGAATAATAGGGCAAAATAATTTTTGTATGCACCTCAAGATAAGGGAAGGCAATTAGAATATTAATCAGACAAGTGTCCAGATATTTGACAATAAAATTTGAAATACTGAAGCTTCAATGCTATTAACTGCTTTATCCAAATCCTTGTGATTTATGTGTCTTTGCCCAGTTTAGCCTCTCTCATATTCCCCATCTTAATACCACAAATGTGTTGTAATTTTGCAAATAACTGACAACTCTACACCGAAAAGACAAATTCTTAACCTGACAAACTGATGTAAGATCTGTTCCAAAGGACTGAGGGAGGAGAATCTCTACCATCATTGCTAGACATACTTAGAGAACCTAAAAGAAAGAGTAAATATCAGCCCAGTGATTTATAACAAAGCTAATAAAATTCAGGCCAGTATTCTAAAGTGTAATGAACATCATTTGAACATTCAACACATGAAAGGTTAACAAAGGCTACGAACTCGGTGTAACTTGAGCCATTTCAGCTGGTGGAGTTCACCAGATGTAATTGGATTCAGGTGGATCCCGCCGCTCTTCAGTCTTTTTAAGGGAGGGTGTGCGCTGCTCCTGCCTGGCGCCTGCTGGCCTCGGGGCGTGCATGAGGCTGGCTCCATACCCTGCAAAATTATTCACAGCTTAGAAGAAAAGAAACTCCCAAAACAGGCTCTTCAGATTCTCCATTAACCATTCAAATGAAACCAGTTTTCCTTTTTAACCCTGAGTGAGACCATGGTGACCACACAGAGCTACCTGAATAATGGGCAAGTGACAGATTCCAGTCCCTGGTCATTAAAAACCTATTTTTATTAACTCCATCAGACAGATCTACTTTCCATTGCTCCCACCACTCACTATGTATTTTGACTGTGTGGAAAGTCTCTGTTTCTGTCTCTGTCTCTGTCTCTCTCTGTCTGTTTCTGTTTGTCTGTCTGTCTGGACAGTCTCTGGTAGATCAGCTTGACCTTGAACTCGTGATCATCATTCCTCCACCTCCTGAGAGCTGGGGATGACAAGTGTATACCACCAGGCCAGGATTATTTGGTGTTGGGACTCAAACCCAGTACTTTGTGCATGCTAGGCACAAACTCTACCGAGGGGGCTTTGCCTAGCCCTACCGTAAGATGACTGTCCTACACTGAGGTCTCCAGTGCTCCTGCTGAGAATTTGGTGGTGGATTCTTTTCAATCCATGACCGAACCAACCTCACTTATGTTGAAACAGTCCAACATAACAGCTTTCATTCTTCATACAGACCCCAGGATGAAGTTTATTGCACTCATATAACACAGGCGTTCTATTAGAATTAGGACCTTTCTCTTCACGGTAGAGAAGAGCTATAGTTTCAACTGACTTCTACTGATTTGTGAATTTTGCCGCAACTGCTCATCTAGCCATCTCCAACCTTGTTTATGAAAACTGAACCTCCTTTCTTTCCATTCGTGAATCTCTGGAGGTGCTGGGAGCATTGGCTCATTTTTGCTTTCCTAAAATGGATCCAAGACAGCAATTACATCTTAAAAATCTGTCTCCGTCTTCAGAGTCAATCTGATTCAACATTTCATAAGTTCCTTGTGGTTTTTAAATGCAAGCATGCTGTTAAACAACTTTTGAGAACAGAGCCCCGTTGCTGGATGTGTTTCTTTGAATTGTCGGCTTGTAGGCTACTAGCTCTAGGGATGGTCAAAGCACGAGCTAACAATGCACTGGAGTAAATCCCTCCCTTGCAAGTGCGGCTTGGCTTGCCACCCATGAAGCCCAACCTCCTTGCTGGGGTGGGAGAGCTTAAGCAGAGAGTTGGTCTGTCTCCAGGAAACCTTTCCTCCTCTCCATGATGCCTGGGTGCCTAAGACCTCCCAACGTGCCACCCCACTGGGAATCTGCTCTTTACCAGAGCTCTGTGACTCAGAGCTTCCCTGTCACCTCCCTCCAGTCAAAATAAACCCCATTCTTTCGGCTTGATTCTCTTGGTTAGTGTACAAAAGAGCTGGGTGGCCACCCCAGAACAGGTTTGCACCAGAAGCGCCAGGGCACCTTCTTGCAAGCAATGCCTTGCTCTGAAAGGCATCTGATGGCAGATGAGCCAGTGTGGTGTCCACTAGAGTGTAACGTGGTCATCCCCTCATGATGACTCTTCCACAGGAAGGCTCCTAACATGCTTTCAATTTTTGGATGAGTGACAGCACCTTTGTGCCCAGCTCACTGGGCATTGTCCCTGGGTTGTATGCCCTGCCCTGTGAAAACTGATCTAGAAAAATATTTGACATGTAAGTGATAATTTCAAATTCACATCTTATTATTTTTGAGGTGCAACAGTTTTGAAATAATTGGTTACTGAAGTGTGACACGACCCGAACCTCCTTTTCCTTGAAGCAAGGTAGGCAGTGGACACGTGTACAGACTCATGGTGGGAGTTGGATCCCCAGCACGTCAATGGAAGGAAGGGAGAAAGAGAGAGAGGGAGGGGAAGGGAGGGAGAGAAGAAGGGAAGAAGGAAGGAAGAAAGGGAAATGGGGAGGAAGGACTTTAGCTAATCAGTTTCTTCCCTCAATACACTGAATTACTGAACTAATCTGTATGATTTGTTTGACCTAGAGAATACACGTGATGAAGTTTTACAGATCTGGTGGCATTTTACATACATTCTATTCTAAACCTTGGTTAGCTTTAAAGTTGAGAGAAGAGATGGGTGGTGGCAAGGGCAGAGAAATGGTCACTAATGACACAGCAAGCAGGGCTGAGTTACAGGTCATCCGAAGATAGTTGGAGATGTCCTCGACTCACTTTTATTGCAGTGCCTTCCGTGCCAGCCTTCTCGACATTGGCATTTGTTGGGTTCGTGGCAGGTTCCATGAGCTCCACAGCCAGGCTCGCAGACGGCTGGAATCAGAGCAGAACAAAGCTATGCTTCCTCGACTTTCCCATTTCTTTCTTTTCTTAAACACAGCTACATAGAAACTTTTCCTTCAGTTCTTTAGAATATGTTAGTTTTGGCTTTGTTTTTTTTTTTTTTTTTTTTTTTTTTTTTTTTTTTTTTTTTTTTTTTTTTTTTTTTTTAAAAAACTTCTTTAAGTTTTGTCTAAGTTGCTTTCCAGTCAAAAGTCAGCTTCAAGGTTGGAAAAATCCTTATGAATGATCTTGTTTCTCATATACAAAGACCCTCAATGAGATTTTGAAACTACCAGATTATTCTTTAAAAAAAATCCTAATAGATAAAAGAAACAAAATTTTAAAAAATGAAAGAATTCAGCTGTGTACACAAATATTTTATATTCAGGTGACCCCACAATGCCTGTGGTCTAAGTAAAGAAAGCACACATCAGGGGGAAAGAGTCAGCTCTGATGTGGGGACAACATGCAGCAGGCATGGACGTTGTATCCAGAGCAGACATCAAATGCCATTACCCTGCACCCATACTGTCACCATGCCTGGTACTTACGCTTAGAACAGAGGTCTCCTTGGTAACCTTTGGGACACTTACATTTGCTTTTACCAATGCATTTACCTCCATTTCGGCAGGGTTGTGGGCATTTGCCTGCAGTAGAGGAAATTAGTTAAGTAAGTAAGGAGCCCAGGGCTTTATTCAACAGTAATTACATCTCTCCAAGAAGTAACAAGGCTTTGAGTGGAGAAACGCTTTGAAATGGCAGTCATTTATTTTAGGTCTCCTCTGGTTTTCATATTGTTTCTGTTTTGGAGACAAGCTAATATATTATATGAATTATATCACATTATGTTAAGTATAATGTCCCCTTTTCCAAAATGAATATACTGCCATATGTACAAAAATAAAAAATTCAAGCTAACCTGACTTATACATGCTTGTAGTTTCATATACATTGTTCTAGAACTTCATACATGTCTAACTTACTACATGAAATTTTCTACAGCTTCTGGTGTTTTCATATCACTTTTTTTCTGGAAGAAAGTCCATCCACTCCTGATGATAGCCTTAGCCTGGCTTCATCTTTCAGAAAGCAAGTTTGCATTTAGGTAGCTCAACCTGGAGAAGTGAACCTTGGAGATAGGAATGGGGGCATGAATAGAGTACTACAGAGAAGGGGGGAAAAGATAACAGAAAAGTGTGCTTGTGGGCCAGTCACCATGATGGGCAACTGGACTGTATTCTGCTGGTCTGCCCAAGGATTATATCAGAAGCACACGAGAGTCCACTGAAAAGAATAGAAGGGAACATTTGTTTATTGGCATCTGATACCCACTGATTTATTGTCTTTAGGAGAGGGCTTCTTCTCACTTCCATGGTGGAATGGCAGTATAAGGACTCAGAGATGCCCCTGGGTGGGAGGGACATGGATGGAACAGATCAGACGAGGGGATGGGTTGCTATAGCAATGGGTGGAGTGAGCAGCTGGTCCCTGGTGCCATAGTTATCCATCTTTATGGACTGTCTGAGAGACTAAGGACATGCCAATCTCCCTGTTAACTCTGCATCAAATAAATATTGCCAATGTTTTCACAGAGCTTTGAATCCTAGAATTTTAGAACTGGAACAGGACCAGAGCTGTAAGAACTATGCAACAATGTTCTTCTTTCTTACACTACAAATGTTTGTTTTCCTATACAACCTAGAATTTTCCATTTGAAGGATGACTTCTTAGAATTAACTGATAAGGGGCTGTTAACCCAAAGCTGAAGCCTCATCCTGCCAAGTGCATGGTGATGTTCCAAAGACAGCAGAGACCTCTAGACTTCAGTGGCAACCCAGTTTGGGTTTTTGCTCTTGTTTGTTTGTTTGTTTACTAATGAAGTTGTTGCCATTAACAAACTCACCTTTCGCTTGCTAATTTTTTTTATGGCCAAAGAAAGCTTGAGATGAAGCAAACTATAATGTTCTTTACTAATAGGCACCATTTTTAGCAAAAGAATTGAATTTCACGTGAAAATTGTTTTGCTACAAACACTTTAGTTTTTACTTCTTACTTAGACAAAAGAACTTTATTTGTTTATAAATTGGACAAAGCCACATCTAGTCATGAAGATAATATGCACACAACAATGTTGGGAAGTTAAGGGCTCTGCAGTAGACTAGAATTCAGCTTTTATTTTTTTCTTAAAGCTCCCCACCCCCCTTCTTGAGACAGAGTCTCATGTGGTCTGGCTGGCCTCCCATTCAATTCACTCTGTAGCTAAGGATACCCTTGAACTTCTTTCTGATCCTCTTACCCACATCTTCCCAGTGCTGGGTCATAAGTGTGCCCCATTATAGACAGTTTTATTCAGTTAGACAAATACTCTTGTCCCAACTAAGCCACAAGAAGAAAGAGCTATATCAGGGTGTTCAAGGGCCAAACCCACCATGTGTGGACCTTGGAATATGGAGTGGTTTTTGATTATTTTTCTCCAACAGTCTAACTTATTTTCTATAGAGAACATTTATAACAAGTCCTGTTAAATTATTTTTAAACTTATTTATCATATGGCATAAGTAATTTGTGTGACCTTTCTAACTGAAATTCTATTAAAGACTCTTAGGAAACCTATAAGCCTTACATAGCAAGATGTATGCATAGCTGGCATCCCAGACACCTCAAAGGTTAGTGACAGACCTAATGACAGCATCTCTCAAAACAGTCACAATGGGGACTGGGAAGGTATCATTACTGGTAGAAGTCAGGAGAAGTGGAAATTAGACTGACAGACAGTAGAACATGCCCCTGCAGAAAAGAATGATGAGTATTGGTGAGAGTGTGGGGAAACTGCAGTGTTGCAGGTGGGCTGAGAAACAAGAAACAATCTGACAGTTCCTCAGCAAAGTTGTTCCCTTGTGGTCCAGGATTCTCCTTCTAGGTTAAGAGCCAAAAGAGATGCAAACTTGGGTCAGTGAAATGGCCCAGCAGGGATGTGCACCTGCCACCAACACAGAAGGCCTGAGTCCAGTCCCCGGGAGCCATGAGTGGGTGTAGAGCATCAAAGCTCAAAGAGTTGTCTTCTGATCTCCACATGTATGCTATGGCATACACTACACATACGACACACACACACACACACACACACACACACACACACACAAACCTGTCTGCATGGAGACATGCACTCAAATGTTCCTTGACTGTAAGTGAATAAACAAGTGGAATCTGTCCACACCACTGGGTGATACTCAGCAATAGGAAGGAGTGACAGTACTGGTATATTCTGTACCACTTGCAGTCCTTGAAAACAATGACCTTTAATGGTAGAAGCTGGGCACAAAATGGTCTATCTTGTATGACTCCATTTATGTGAGGTGTTGAGAATAGACAAAGCTAGAGAGATAGAAAGTAGATTGGTGGTTGTCAGACCCTGGGATTATGAGGGGACTTGAGAGACATTTCTGGTAAACATAGGTATAAACTTTTATTTAAGGTGGACATAAATTGTTCTGAAATCAGATTGAGGTTACAGCATAACTTGTGGATATGCAGAATGATACACTTTAAAATGCTGAATCTTGTGGTATGTGAGTTATATATTCACTAAAAGATAAGAATAAATAGTTCAACTCTGCCTTTTGTCTGTACATTCAGAGAAACTTCAACTACAGACCTATTGCTGATTTCTTTTTTTTTTTCTTCTTCTTCTTCTGGTAGTATCCCCTTTCATTGAAACAGGAAATTTTCTAAAGGGATTTGAATAAAATCTGTGGTTGACTCTATGATGAGTTTTCAAAACTCTACATTTTTGGTCTAGTTAGAATTTAAAAAAAAAAGACAGAGGAGAGAGAAAAGGTGGTGGAGGAGGAAAGGACACAGAGAGAGAGACTCTGCCAGAGGAAAGTTCGTAAACACAGAGGCATGAAAAGGAACCCTTACATGAAATGAGCCCATGAACAAAGACTCATAAACAAAGCATGCAACGTCTGGGGCCGAGCATCGGGAGAAAATTGAGGGGAGTTAGCTCAAGATGTCTTTATCAGGAAAGAGTAATTAATAAGAACAGAAACCACATCCTGACAATTAATTACATGTTCGATGGAAACTTCAGAGCGATTTCATTTGAACTCTATAAAAAAAAAATGGTGACTTCATCCACTACTCATTAAAGTACAAAACCCACAAATAAATTAGAGGTTGGAAGTTAAAATAGGAACATAGCATTATTCAATTTGGAATCTACCTCAACTTTGGAAACAGTGGTGGTGCCAAACACAGCAGTGCTTTAGAGACGGCACGGATGGGAAGGACTACCCTCGATGAACATCCCAAAGGCAGAAGCGGATCCTCAGCAGGCACACATGATGGCTTGTGGCCTGCCTGGACATGCATCTCCATGCTAGTCTGCTGGGTCATAGTGCAGCTTAGACTGAATTGGCTCATTTCTTGGGTTTCAAAGAGAAATCTGAGTGCTAGAGAGCTGGTAGGTGGCAGAAATGGTGGGTGGCAGAGCTGGGACCATTCCCCGACTTTTTGTATAGAAGCATGACAAACAACACCACGTGGGCAGAATGGGTGTCAGTTTTAAGCTCAGCTCCTTATTTATTTTTAATCTGAGAACTCATGCAACACTGCTATCAAAGACACAGGCATTTCCAGCACCCTGTAAAGTTTCTTTTGCCCCCCGCCCCAAACAGCAACTCCTGTTTCTACTTCATCCATTACTTTTGCCTCTCGACATTGAAAACTGCAGACTCCTTGCATGTCCGCCTCGTTTTGTGTAATATATCCCCGGGATTCACTTAGGTGGCTGTGTTGTTGTTTTAATCGCTGGGCAGTGTTTAGCTCCTCTTCTATCCTTTTCTCTTAAATGGGTCAGTCTTTTCTAGGATTTTAGTAATGACTGGGAGAGGAAAACCCTCTGTGCTTGCGGGTTTGTCTTGAGCCCCTGGGATACGCACCACCTTTCTTAGCCTTACTTTTAGACAAAGGGAGTGGCAGAGGAATCTAGTGAAAAGAGACCATTGACCTAAGATCTCAAGGTGTCCATTCTATCTAGGCTTCCGATCCATCAAGATGAAGCAGTAGGCAGTCTTTCAGGTCCCCCACCCCAAGCCCAAAAGAATGACAAGGTCTGTACTCACTCATTTCACACTGTTCTCCCTCGAGTCCGGGAGGGCAAATACATTTTCCTGGGTAAAAGCAGGTACCTCCATTAAAGCAGGTAGTTGAGCAGTTTGCTGTTAGGATGAATGACAGGGTGCTTCATTACACAGGCAGTTAAGCCTAGAAAGAATTTCACTTAAAGAGAGCAATATTTCTCCATCGTGTATCTAATATGTTCTCACCTACATAGTAAACAAACTACTTTGCAGTTAAAAAAATAAAGTTATAACCAAACACCCCATTATTTTAAATAACCGATTCAAATTATAATTACAGTCAAGTTACAAAGACTATTTCAGAATATAAGAGAGAATAGGGTATCACACATTGTATTCATAATACTTTTTTTAAAAAAAGTCTTTTCAAATAGAGTATTTGTGCTAAGAAGAATCTGCAAATCCAAGAAAATACTTTTTGGAAAGCATCAAGTTGGAAGATAAAGGGAGAGAACTTATTTGGGTTAGACAAAGGGAAAAGTGGTGTCAAAAGTGTCAGGGTCCAACAAGGAGGAAGCAGCTCTCAGATGATCGGAGCTCCGTTTTAACGAACAGGAGTTAAAAAGCAACTGTCACAGTACTTGGAGAAAGACTCCAGTAATTACATTCAGAGAGACAGCTGTGGTCCCTGTGAGGTCCTCACCCTAGGATGAGGATGAGCCATGATTGAGCCTGAGAGATGAAGTGGGATGATGGGATACAGAGAACATCCAATTACACCCTGGCTGGGGGAGGGGGGTAAACATGCTCTAACACGTCCCAAGCCCCTCCTTCTCGGTGTCAGTTATCACAACAGAAAGTGAACTAATACAAATTTTGTTTTGCTGTGAACCAAAGATGCTAACTAACTTTCACTGTGGCTGAGGGTAGATTGGCCAGCATTTAACTAATCATTTCCTAAAGTTTGTGGCAGATGTCCCCAAGGCCAATGAACATGATTCTTTAATGTTTGTTCCAAAATATAGTGCTAAAGTCTAGCTTCATGCCAGTAATTAAAACCATTTTCAGCTCCAATTTCCAAAGTGGGTAATAAAACAATCTTTCGTTGAGCCAATAAAAATCGATATGCTTTATGTTCCAAGGTCTCCAATGAGAACAAATGAAGTTCCAACAGATTTTTCCAAATTTGTTTTTAAAAAATTACTAGAGTATAGCATGTAGGAAAATCTTTCATCTGAAAGACAAAATATTATGGAATATAAAATGTGCTGAAATACAATTGTATGTTTTTCCTTTATGACTCTAAAGTATTTGTGACACCGTAGCACATAAATATCACATGTATCACAATAGCCAGTGTAGTCTCAGCCACTTGGGAGACAGGAGGAACTCTTGAGTCCAGGAGTCCTATGCAGTATCATGTTATGGCTGTCAGCTGACTGTATTAAGTTGAGCATCAGTATGTAACCTCTTGGGAGCAGGGACCATCAGGTTGCATAAAGAGGGGTGAGCCAGCCCAGGTTGGATAAAAGACCTCAGATCTTTCATTGTATAAGCCCTGGCAATAATGGCCACAGCTGAACAGACAGACAGGAGTCATTAATCATTTCATTAACTCTGTGTGTGTCAGCTCAAGTGTCTGAAGGTTTGCTTTGTCTCCAGTAGTTCTGTTGTAGTCTGAGTTTTATTCTATTCCAAGAAATGCCTGGTTTTGAAATGGTAGAGATATCAAATGCTAAATCTGAACAAATGAAGACACACTCTTGAAGAATTTTATTGACTGGCTGTTAAAAGATTACTGCTGCCACTAGGTCTTCGTCTTTAGGAATATGTATTTAAAATATTTTTAGTCTAATGCTGTGTTTTAGCAATGAAAATGATGCAAATGCTCAGATATTATCCCATCCCAGGGATGGAAGGTAGAAGGCAAAGAGGAAGAGCTCATGGCCTAAGTTATCTGCTCAAGTCTCAGGTCACTTGGGAGGAGCTGTGACCTGATTAGACAGAGTGACAGGCAATATGGTACAGTGGAGGGAATGAAATCTGGGTCAAGTGATTCAGGCTATAGAAACCCCACTATGCTTCTCTGGGAGTGAAATGTATGACGATTTCCTCCTCTCAACAGTTGTCAAGAATCTAACCAAATAGTGGTGTGGAAATGTTTTGTATAGCCTAAGACAGCAGACATTCAAATCACTCCTCTAACTCATGCCAAGAACTCTTTGCCTTGACTTTTTTTTCCTTCTTAAAAAACTGCGTGCACACATGAAAAAGCAAACAAACAACCAAACAGAAAACTGTACTGCAGTGTTACTCCATTCAGAGTGACTGATCACAAGAGACTGCTTAAAACTGGTATTTGGTATTCTTTTTAAAGCATATTTTATTTATTAAAAAATCAACAGCCTGGGGCAAATAGCATTATGGATATTAGGATGCCTTCATTAAATCCATATACCTTACAGAGTATTTATTTTTGATTTTTCCAGACTGAGTTTCTCTATGTATCTTTGTAGACCAGACTGTCCTCGAACTCACAGAGATCCACCTGCCTCTGCCTCCCGAGTGCTGGGATTAAAGGCATGTGCCACCAATGCCTGGCTTATAGAGTATTTTAAAAAGTTTTCCCACTGAGAAGTTGTGGACTGGCTAAGTAGACCGGTGGTATTTCAGGGGCCAAGTTTGTATCCACTCCCTGTCAGTGAAATCTGATGTACTGCTGCCGTGTTTAGAGAGAGGCACTTGACCTCTTGTAAATAGAGTATTGGATGAGGCCCCACACAAGGTCATGGATGCTGAGATGTTAAATCTGGTTCCCTGCTATTTTAACATGAAGTATCCAGGACAGAAATTATGTCTGTATGTCAGCAACCTCCACAGCAAGTATCAACTGTGCTGGGATTCTTTCTTCTCGGCTGACGAGAGGCATCCCTTGTCCCTGTATGGAGTTTCCCTGTCTTTCTACCCTGCCTGGGCACCACAGATGGGCATTGCTTATGTCACTGACCTGTATATTCCTGCTCTGGAGCACTCTGGGAGTAAAAATAAACTTCTAGGTTAAGCAACACCCCAAACTGGGGTTCCAGTTATTATAGCAGTCATCTTTGCCCTACACAATATACTGTGTTTACAAAGTGATGCCATTAAGAATATGTATTTGGGAGGCTGGAGAGATCGTTCAGTGGTTAAGAACACTGGCTGTTCCTCTGGAGGACAGTTTTTGATCCCCACATGGAAGCTTATGAGTACTTGTAACTCCAGCTTTAGGGGGTCCCATTGCCCTCTTCTGGCCTCCACATGCATGTGTGCAAACACACACACACACACACACACACACACACACACACACACACACACACACACTTAAAAAAAATTTAAAAAGAACAAAATCCTGTTACCTTTATCACAGTTGACGCCATAGAATCCAGGTGGGCAGATACAAAAACCAGGAGTGACACACAGTCCGCCGTTCATGCACCGAGGTATGCAGAGGGCTTACAGGGAGAGAGGACTCTGATTAAGGCCAAACAGGTGTCTGGAGCAGGTTCATTTTGCAATGTCAATGACTCTACAACTTAAACTTTCTGGTAGAATCTAAAATGTTTAGTCTTTAGATATACAATTTGCAATACATAAAAAAATGTTTCTTTGTATTAATTTAGCTAGGTTTCAGATTCTTAACCAATGTATTAAGCAAGAATTTTGAATCTGTTCTACTTTAAATGCCTGATTAAATCTTTCTCAAAATCAGGCCAGGGATGGTGGTGCAAGCCTTTAGTCCCAGCACTCGGAGGCAGAGGCAGATGGATCTCTGTGAATTCTAGGCCAGCCTGGTCTATATAATTGAGTTCCAGGACAGCCAGGGCTATACAGAGAAACCCTGTCTTGAAAAACAATAACAACAAAATAAAATAAAATCTTCCTCAGAATCAACTTGACTATGATGTGTTTGTTTTAAACTGCAAATATACTTTCTCTGCCCCATTTCCTTGACCTTCAAACTTTAAGATAAGTGAAAATAAGAAAATATTCTTATCTCTTAAAAGTAAAAAATATTTTTGTTTACTCTGGCTAAATAAGTTCTTGGTAGTTAAATATCTTGGGATTAATACTCATTTTTCTCACCTCTTTTCATGTAACGGTCTCAAAAATAGTATCTCTGAAATAAATGTACTTCTTTTCAACCCTTCTTTTAGCTTATGCTAAGGTATAACTTATGCTCAGGTATTGATCACAAAGTACACTGAAAATATAGTCCAGCTGGAGGCTTGATCGCAGAGAACAGATGCCCTAGATAAAAATTCTTTGGCCAAAGTTCTGGCCACGTATCACATTAAACAGAAACCGTCCCAACAGGTCTTCTGTGACTAATTAAAGTTTCACTGATCCTTAAATTATTCCTGAATAGTAACAGTAATTTCAAGAGATGTGTTATAAACAACAGAGACCAAGTGGGGTGTCTGTGGCTTCCATGTGCATTGGGAAGCAAGCCAGGTGGACCAATTTTAACTTCTTGCTTACCTTTCTCACAGTGAGGCCCGTAGAACCCATCAGGACACTCACAGACTCGCCTTTCGTTACAAAAGCCTCCATTTCGACACCCTCCAGGACATTCAGCTGCACCAAAGAGAAACAAGGCATAGAGCATGTCCTTGAGGCCAGGAAGGGTGAGACACTGGTGGTCATTTATATTCCGGTGTTCTCAGGGTAACTGATTGAGCACCCACAATCTTTAACCTTCCCTCTGCACCCCTTGGTTTCCACTCAGCTATTCCTGCAATCTTATTTACAACAATAGGGGACACACATGAGAGGAATCAAGCAACTTTTACTTCTTCACACCTCCAAAAGTATGGTAACTCTCTAAAGTCACACCAAAGGACTCAGACAGGGCATTGCCTATGGTATTCAGGACCAGAGAGTAGGTGGATTTTTTTGTATATGTTTAGATCATTGACTAGCTCCATAACTTAAACTTGATCCTGGAAGGTGGAAGGAGCTATGCCCTTGTTAGTGGGCACCCAGGGCATAGCAATGAGATACTGAGGCCCTGCCTGCCTGGCAGGATGGTTGTATCATCATGACTCCTGTCTTCTGTGACTGTGAACTGTGCCAGGCATTTGGCAGGGGCACGGGTAGTGTGGGTTTCGACTGGGAGAAATTTTGATGATTGATTGACACCTGCAATGAGGAACTGGAACGAGAAAGGAAACGTCTGTGTCCAGGGGTGAGGCACACCTGGGGACTCCTCAGTGTATGTTAGGAAAGGGGAAGAGCCCTGCTGTGACAGCACACTGGAGTCCCTGAGGTTCCTAAGTAGTGTCAAACCCTGAGAAAATCTAAGTACTTGTTAATGGACCCTGTGCACAAGCCCTGTGACTCCCCACCTCCAAAGCCTTGTTTTGAGTGACTGCCAATGCTCACCTTGTTGACACGTTTTAAAGAAGATAGCATTTTGAGGGGTCTGAAGGATGGTGTTGCCTTCAGAATTCATGACAACCACGTTCACCTCAAATGCTGCCACACCGTCCTGTTTGCCGAGACATGGGAAACCAACCTGAACAACTAGAAGGAAAAGAGAGTCTGTGAAATCAGTTTAGCCAATTGATTCTGGCTTTACAGAAACCACAGGGAGACCAAGCAGCAAAAATGGTCACATTTTTTTTATGATTTTCGTGTATCTCCACTGGAATTGAGATAGTATTTTGATTACCCAGGCATTCTCTGTGAAACTTATGAACCATAGTAGGTGGTAAAAGAATGAATGACTCTTGGTAATTTGTGTTCCACTGGGCATATGCAGAACTGGGCATATTTTGCTGATAAAACTTTTTTGAGGGGGAGCAGTTTCTTGGCTTGTACATCTTTGGCTTAGTAAATCTTAGCTTATCTATCTTTTAAGGATTTTATTTTAATTTCTCTCTCTCTCTCTCTCTCTCTCTCTCTCTCTCTCTCTGTGTGTGTGTGTGTGTGTGTGTGTGTGTGTGTGTGTTTGCACTCAAGCCCATATGTGTGTATGGGCACATGTGTACAGGTGTGTGGAGGCCAGAAGAGGGTGTCAGATTCTCAAGAGCTGGATAACAGGCAGTTGTGAGCCACCTAATACAGGAAGCAAACTTGGGTCCTCTTTAAGTAGCTATTCTTAACCACTGAGCCATCTTTCCAATACCAGTTTCCATACCTTAAAAAGGTGAGTTTTTTTTTAATTTCTTATTTTTTGTTCTCTAAATTAAAGATGCAAAAAGAAGAATAATTATATTAATTAGGACAAGACATTTGTAGGTATGGTTTCCATCCCTAAAGAGCCAGAAAAAGGTACAATATGTAATATCAATTAAATAAGCCCTTGGAACAATAGCCCACTAGTTTATTTTTTATTCTTCTGGTTTGAAAGTAATAAAACAAATTATTTGAAGATATTCTGCAACTCAGCCTGGACTCCAGTAACAACCGAGTCAACCAGGTTGCTATTTTCTCAAGATACCTGTGGATATGACAGAGTGTTTGTTGGACTGATGTGGTGGGTAGGCTAGAACTCATGATTTAGCTTTCCAATATAGAGCCACTTCTTGTCAGCCACAACAAAGCCACAAGGCAGGACGTGACAAATGTTTCTGCACAAAGAGGATGAGGAGGCCACCAATTTTGTTTCAAGTCACTAGGTGGAATGGGCTAATCAGACATTGGCTATTGGATAAGAATGATTGTGGAATGTTCCAGAACATACTGGATCATCAAGTCACCCACTGAGAAAGACTGATCTAGCTTACAACTAGACTCCAGTTCTTCCTTAAGTAAATTTTTAAAAGACTGCCAGTAAGTGTACACAGAACTTTTGCATGGCATGTACAGCCACTAAGCATGGACTTATATTAAACCAGGATAAACATTTTTCCTTTGGTGTGTGACTACACCTTCCTCCTAGGGTTAGAACATGAAAAGAGCCCGGAATTGCTCCCAACAGCACACCAGCTGGCCATACAATCTTCTTAGTGTGCTTGCAAAACAAAAGTTCCTTCACAGGCTCTGGCATTGCCAAAAGATAGTAGAAACAACCATGTCCTTCAGCAATGATAAGCCTGTGAGGTAGAGGTCTACTTTTACCAAAGGCTAAATGAAAACAAGGCCAGATGTTGTGAATTCCAATGCAATCTGTGTTGCATAAACCAGGGTGAATGACAACAATTTCAGGACACTGAAACAGATGAACTCACATAGTGTTCAAGTACACATCAATACACAATTGATTGCACATAAACAACTCTTATGGAGAACTGAATGAAAACTTATCCTAACTGAATACGCAGATGAACATGTTCTTTATACCCCCAGAGAATCCTGTCATTTAACCCACTTCCTTTACAGGGAGGTAGAAGGTGAGAGGCAGCAGGAACTCAATCTCAATGTCACAGAATGATAAACTGTTTTCTGATTAGATGAGGGCCTGGAAGATGGCTCAGTCAGTAAAGTATTGCCTGGTAAATATGGAGGCTTGAGTTTGATCCTCAGTACCAAAAATTCTGGGTGTGCACAAGTGATAGAGGTATAAAACATTATTTTATTTATTTATTGGTTTTTGGTTTTTTCAAGACAGGGTTTCTCTATGTAGCTTTGGAGCCTGTCCTGGAACTAGCTCTTGTAGACCAGGCTGGCCTCGAACTCACAGAGATCTGCCTGCCTCTGCCTCCCGAGTGCTGGTATTAAAGACATGCACCACCAGTGTCTCGCTCTAAAACATTAATAGACTAGCGTGCTCAGCACTAAGTGGGATGTCCCTTCACTCAAGTCTCCAGGATCTCCTGGGAAGAGGGGGCAGAAAGATGTAAGAGCCTGACCCAGTGGACGACTACAAGGCAACTGTTTTCTGGGCACAACAGGGCATGCACATATGAACTTGCAGCCTGTGATGGTGTGCACAAAGACCTGTGCAAGCTCATGCCAGACAAAATCCCAGTGTCAGGGTCGGAGGTCGGAGGTAGGCACAGAGTTCCATCCCCAGCTGAGGAGTTACTGGCAACTGATAACTTTTGGCAGAGGGAGTCAGTTTTCTTTAAAGGTGTGACCCCCTTCGAGGTTCACCACGCTCCAGGACAGGCCCTACACTCAAGAGTGTTGAAGCAAAACTAAATTAGGCTTGATGGGCCTTTGTAAAAGAAAGGGAGAACAGGAAGCTGGGAGGGTGGGCAGATTGGAGTGGACTGGGGAGGAACTAGGGGAGAAGGGGTAAATATGATCAAAACAGGTTGTGTGAAATTCTCAAAGAACTAATACAAATTTTTCTAATTAAAAAAATTTACTTTTCATTTTATATACAACCCCAGTTCCCCCTTCCTTGTCTTCTCCCCCACCTACTGCCTTCCCCACCTCCATTCACTTCTTAGAGGGGTTAAGGTCCTCCTTGGCAAGTCCACAAAGTCTGAGACAGGACCAAGCTCCTCCCCCCCTTATCAGGGCTGAGCAAGGCATCCCACCATAGGGAATGGGCTCCAAAAAGCCAGTTCATGCATCTGGGGTAGATCCTGGTGCCACAGCCAGGCCACCCCCCTCCCAACAGATGAAGCCACATAACTGTCACTCACATTAAGGGGGCCTAGTTTGGTCCAATGCTAGGTATGGTGGCCTGTGCTTACAACCCCAGCTCGGAGGATGTAGGGAGGGACAGGAGGATCCCTGAAGTTTATTGGCTGACTAATTCGGTGAACTCCAGGGCCATGAGAGAGCCTGTCTCAAATGAGGTGGGTAGTGTTTCCCTGGGATAACACCTGAGGTGGCGTTCTGGACTTCGCACTCACACACATACATGTGCTCCAGCACCTGCTACCCACAGGAACATGACCATGCATGCACACATATGCATGTATATAAAAAGTATCCAACCTAAGTACCCAGTTCTCCCAGCTGCTGTGGCATTCTGTCTCTCAGCAAATACTGACCATTTATTCTGGCCTGGAGCCATCAAGAAGATGGTATCCCTCCAGACATGAACACCTGTTTAAAACCTTCTCTACAATGGATTCCTGAGACATACTGCTGTTCTATGGGTTTCAGATAGTGACAGTGTTCACCCTGGCTTTATGGGAAAAGATACACATGTACACACACACACACACACACACACACACACACACACACCAAACCGCTCTACAGTTTGTATTTCCTGTTTTTCTCTTCAAATACCAGAAGATAGGCACTTCATAACTGTTAAAGATCAAGAGATGCCCGGGCACAGGCACCTATGGAATGAAAGGACAGTTTAGCGGCTTGGGGGTATTAAACAGCAAGGCACAATAACGAATGCTACCTGGATGCTTAGGAGCAAAGACACAGTGATTTGGTTACTTTCTAACAATTCAAGGTGCCTTCACTTCTCCTACTGTGGTGACCAAGCTAATGAGGCTAAGCTAATGAGCCGCTGGCCCGCAATGATCTGAAACCCCCATAAACTACGTGAACCTGTGGTTTTGCTTCTAAAAGAAAGGAAAAAAAAATACGTGTGCACACCGAGGTGAAAGGTCTTAATTGGGAGAAGACCTGTGTGCATGAGGGGACATCACTTTGTGCCCGAAGAAAGCCTGTTCCTTGTTTTGTTTTGTTTTTAATCTCACCTTGACACAAGGGTCATCTGCTTTTCCCTCTGAATTTTATTTTAATTTTTATGCTTGTGCTTGCATGCAAGCATGTGTTCATGCATGTGTATGTAGAGGTCAGGAGTTGATATCAGATGTTTTCCTCAGTTGCTCTCCCTAATGTTTTTGTTTGTTTGTTTGGTTTGGTTTGGTTTTCCACAAGGTCTCTCAGTGAACATGGAGCTTGACAATTGGCTAGATTGGCTGACCAGCAAGCCCAGGAAATCCTGCCTCTCCAGGGATGGAATTATAGTAGGGCACTGCCAAGCTCAGCTTTTTGCCAGGGGTCTGTGTGGCAAGCACTTTCCCAATGGGGACATCTCTCCAGCTTCTAGGTTTTGTTTTTCTAGGTTTCATAGTATTAGAAAGTGAGGTTGAATTTAAGCAGTTCCTGTCTGTGAAGGCAATCTATCATATATACCCAGTAGCTGATATGTCAATAGCTTCAAAAGTAGAATTTTAGTAAAATTCCTTTTTAGACACTAAAAATGGTTAAAGGTAGGGAGATGCGGGATGTGAGCATTAAGTTAGAAATTTAATGATTTGAGTTTCATTGGAAGCTCAGCACAAGTGGCCAATGTAATTAACTGAGCTGATGAATTTTAATAAGTTGCAGTAAGCTTCTGTATGAGTTTTATTAATCAGAAAGAGGCAAGAGAAAAATGTTTAAATATACATTGGATGCTGATAAGCGTGCTATGTGTTCATTCTTGGCTCTTTAAAAAGAAAGAGGGGGAAATTATCAAGAAAAAATGTGTACAAAATTATCTTTGGCTAAAGGAAATATAAGAAATATAACATTCCCTGGCAGGAGATTATGTAGTGACCATGTTCCAAGAGTTTTCAGAGTCCAAGTGTGTTGTTCATCTCCAAGAGGTGGTAAAGTGCTGCAGATGCCATCCGAATCTAAATATCCATGTCTTTGGAGTAGGATGTCCATGTCTTCAAGATGACAAATCTTAGGCCCTTGATTCTGCAGAATATAAACCCTCACCCCTGAAGATGGGCAGCCAATGCCTTGGGATAAGGGAAATCCTCACTCCTTCACCCCTGTAAATGGGCAGTCAATACCCAGGGAGACTACAAACCCTCACTCCTTCACCCCTGCAGATGGATCAGAACAGCACCAGGAAGATGATTGCAAAGAACTAAAACCCCACCCATCCTATTTGCACCCACAATGGTTTTGATGCCCAGGATCTAGAAAGACTATCTTCAAGTCTTGAAGTTGCATGTCACATCATTGATCCATTGAAAATGGCAGACAGTAGGAACCAGTCTCAGTGGAGGGGCCTCATTTCCTAATCACAATCAGATTCCAGTTAGCTCTTGAAGGGATTCTTATTTGATACCTGAGAATTTTCTTATCATCCCTCTGGAAGAATGAAATTAAAATTAGGCACCACTATCACTTATTTTGAAATGCTACAAAGCCATAGCCATGGCTTACTGTGCATGGAAATGCAAAGGACGAGGCATATGGGTGGAACCTCTTCCATTAGGAAAGCCAATGACTGAGAACAACCTGAGATAGAGCCGTTCTTTCATGCTACAGCCAAAATAAATGTTTCTAGGATTCTAGAAGTATGTTTAAATGGTCACTTGACAGCTTTCTGGAGTAGGACTTGATTTTGAAACATAAAAGAAATGGAAAAAATTGCAAAGGAAAAACGTTTGGCAATATAAATTTTATTCTCTACCAATTAAATAATAAATAAATAAATAAATAAATAACAGTGACTTCAAAAAAGCATAGTAAAAGGTAAATAAACTTATTTTATGTACCACAAGTTATGCAAACTAATAAGAACATATTATCTCAATATAAAAAAATAAGTGGGATGTACCATATTTTGCATAGTCTACCAAATTCAGGGATGGTGTTCTAGCTCAGTAGGAAAATTAAAAAAAACAAAAACAAAAAAACATTAAAGAACAGAGTGAAAGGCCACATTCTCTCTTTTTAAATAGGCAAAGTAGTTAATGTAATTGGAAACCTATGCTGATGAGATTATTGTGAGCCAAGTACACTCGCACACTGGAGCCAGGGTACAAATAGGTACAATCCATGGAAAGTACTATTGGTGTTTGAGCAGTTTCATGGGTTTTGTTTTTAAGCTAATAGTTCATACATATCATGGTGTTCACCACAAAAATATCACTTCCAACAATCTAGTATAATAAAGAAGTAAGCACCAAGAATTCAGTATACAACAATCTATTATAATAAAGAAGTAAGTACCAAGAATTTAGTGTGCCTATTAATCCAGCCATGACTTCCTGTCTGCTGGCTGTTTGCTGAACCTTGCAGTAGGAGTCATGGTAAATGAGACACATGGGCCTCTTCCCTTATAGCAGCAAGCATCTTTAGTTTCAAAGGATTTTTATCATGATATTTATAGCATGAAAACTCTAAAAAGAAATCTCACTAACAAAAACTGAGGGAGCAGAGAAACAAATTATGGCAATCCATATAATAGAATGTTATATAAGTTTCATGTCTTACAAAGGTAAAAACAACTTTCAGAAAGACCTGTAAATAGCATGCTTGTCATGAAGTGTCAGGGGTAAGAACATTAGATTCTTGAAACAGAACTAGAAGAAAATACAGGAGAACTTTCTGTTTCCTAAAACCCAGGAATCCTGGGCTCTGGCCTTGGCTCTACTGTCTATGACTAACATTTGACTTTGGACGAATTGTTCAAGCCGTGTGACCCTTCATTTTTTAAAGCTTATAAAATAGAGCTACAGTTCTGGTCTTAGTAGGATTAAGTTAGGTAACACTTGAGTGGGTATCACACAAAAGATGAGAAGCTGGTAACAAATCATATACAAGATTTTCTCAGCCATGCAGGATGGTTACATCTGGAAGCTTGAGTTGATATCACTCCACGCCCTAAAGGTTTTCTGACTAATTTTGGGGAACTTTTTCTTGGTTATCATCTGCCCCCAACCACTTTGAATCTTGGTCACATTTGTGTGTGCTGTGCTAATCCACATTTGCTGGCTGAGTACATCCACATCATCAGGTATGTTTATTTTTTTCTTTCTTCCTTTATTAAAAAAAAAGCAAGAATCATTAATGAATTGGGTGTGGTTTTGGCTATCTTGGGCTTTTAGGAAACTGTAAATCCATCATTTCTTTATTCTTATACTAATCCTTTGCCTGAAGGATAATAACCAAGCTGCCCTTGGTTATTCAACAGCTCTCCTCAGGAAAACATCCCATAATCCCTCTAATGGATGACACATGTCCCTTATATATCCTCATCTCCAGGAAGTCTATGGACAAACTTTTCTCCAAAGCAACAACCACCCACCTGATGCCTTGTGAGGCACTGTTCCCAGCAGAGGGACATTGACAGTTGGGTCTGCCATGATGCCTTTATCCAGGGAGCGAAGAGACAGGAATTCATAGAAGTATTCTGCCTACAACAAAAGGCATTGCCCGTCAGTGCCAGGGAAACCACAGTGATGGAGAAAACACTTCTTGATGACCCATCCACGTGATGGGAGAGTAATTATTTTCCCTGTGGGAACTTTGGAGTCCCCGACATCTAAAATATTATGTAGGCATAATTCACTCTCTCTGATTTATACCTATGGAATTGGATCATGCTTGGAGGGAAGAGAACCCCCAAAATGCCCAACGAATTTATTTAGAGCTTGCTCAAAATGTCACTTAACTTCAACAGTGTTATTACTTGCTATATGTAGAAGGATTTGGAGAAAAATCAGAGGGAGACATAACAAAAGTATTAGCAACCAGCCCTTAGAAAGCTCATCTCAGGTTCTTGGGCCATTAGTTTTGTTTTTTTTTTTTTTAAATCAGAGAGAATTTGTAGAACTGTAATAAATAATGATTAATGGAATAGAAACTTAATGGCAAAGAAGACACTTAAAGGCCAAAATTTAAGGATCCTGCTGCCATTGAGTTTGAAACGTTTATATTTAAGGTCTCAATTTAATAGAGAGAAAAGCCTAAGTTTTTAAAACAAAACAAAAAAGTTGCAGTGAGGACAATAACATTGCAGTGACGACAATCTGTAACACTTGACAATGTAAACAGTTTTTCCCACTATATCAGTAGTTAAGAAAAAGTCTTGTGACTCAGGTGGCCATCAATATAGACAATTGATGGATAGTCTAACCATGGAGCTTCGGTGCTTAACATTTTTATTGAAAGAGATTGTGGAGGCTGGATGGAGACTGGTTAAGAGTGCTTGCTGCTCTTCCAGGAGACCAGAGTTCAGTTCCCAGGACCCATATAGGGTGGTTCTCACAACCACCAGTAACTCCAGCTCCACACTCATGCATGCATGCATGCACTCCCCCACCCCCCCACAGTCTTCAAAAATGGTTTATGCTAACAACAGTCTGTTCTTGCTTAGGAGTAATGGGAAACTAATAAAGAGCACACATGCTAACAAGTGGAATAGTCAAGTTGAGTGGTTCTGCCATTATCCTAATAGATAGCCAGAGTTTTGAGTGAGTTAATTATAGAAATGAGTTACAGTACATAAATGTGGACTGAGACTTTTCTTTTAAGTAGTGGGATTTACGTTCAGTATAATTTTTATTTTATAACATGGAAAACATGGAAGAACGCATAGAAGCCATTCAAACCACCTCCTGCTCTAAATCATTGTCAAATACATCAGTCACAAAGGACTTCATGGGCAGATAATGATGGACTTTCAGCTGCCACAGAGATTCTGTCTACATGTACAGTGAGCTAAGAAACACCACCTGGGTTCACGAAGCCAAAATAGCACCTTCATTAACCAAATCCCCTTCTTTGGCTTGTGACAATGATTGCAAAGGTTCCAGAAGACCACTATGCCTGTTCCCTCGGAGAGTGACAGGGTTGGGTGAATTAATTTATTAAGTTCATCTGCTAAAGGGAGAAGGTCAGTTCCTGAGACAAATGATTGCTCCCCTATGGAAGGGAAGGCAGAGATCTGAAGGAAGCCCATGAAAGCACTGCTGTCAGGAAAGGTAATTCAATTTGCAATGAATTCCTTTGAGATAGAGAATGAATAGTATTTCTGTCCCTGCAGGAAAATCAATGAAAAAGACTCCAGTTTCCACAGATCCAGGTGTTTCCAATGACTCCTATCAACACCCCTCCCCCATCCCCAAGATTTACTCCATAGTATTTATCACTAAAACATTCTATCTTAGAACACAGTTAAAGTGGCATTGTGAAAGGACTTGGTGCTGAATGCCAGTATAATTAACTATATTCTAGTTATTTGTACCACCAAGGATAATAAAACAGCAAGTAACAATAGCACAGCAAATCTTATACATTGGGCATCCCAAATCAATAGGGACACTTTATTAACAGGACCTACTATGACAATAAAGAACTTTGTGGGTAGAGCAGGAACGCCTCAAAACCAAAATTTCAAGTCCAACTTAATAAATTACCCTTTGCTACTCCATAAGCATGTCTTAGAGCTTTATTGCTTTGGAAATTATATGTGCCTTCCCATACATGATACGTTTAAAAATTACATTTGTAAACTAAAATCATTTTGTAAAATAAACTAGGGTTTTTGCTTTTTAAATGGTTTTATTAGTAAGAAGAAAGCTGAAACATCCAGATTAAGACATTCATGAACCAGAACTGATAATAAATAACTCATTTTTTTGTTTTGTTTTTCCTGCTTCATCCACATTTTCAGCATGTGGTTCTATTCATTTTATAGCAAAATTTAATTCATTAACTTAAGAAATAAGCATGGAACCCACTGTCAGATCCACACGACTAATGACAGTCAATAAATCTGGTCATTGGCACTCAGTTGAGGGCATCTGTGCTCACACAGCACTTCTTGGCACAGTCCCTTGAATGTTAAAGAACAATCGACATTAGAGCCACTTCTGAATGTCTCTTCCAAAACTTTTTTGATAACTTTGGAAGACTGGGGATCTGGGAGGATTTTGTTCAGGTCCTGGAAATGCAACTTTAAGGGACATTTTGTTCTCCATGGCATCACATAATGCTGGAAGGAAGGTGTGGCTCTCTCAGGTTCATTGTCTTCTAACTAGCCCTAGTGTGACTGTGGAGCAGGATGGCCACTCCTCCAACCTTGTCAAAGCAGACCCCACACTATAGATTTCAGGGTATTGCTCTAATTGCTTGGATTGTTGGTACACATTATGGCTTCCTTACCATAGTTCTAATTCTGTATCTAAGATTTCTTGAGGTACAAAAGTTTCTTGGATTTTATCAGCAGAAGGTGGTTGTTGGAGCAAGCCTTGTCTGTTTGTCCTTCTTACTGAGGACAATAACGGTGCTCAAGTCTCTAAAATATGTGATTTCCTTCTTGCTTGTTTTTGTTGTTGTTGTTTGTTTATAAAGTTATTATTATATTTTAACTTTCTTTGTATTTATCTAGTGTGTTGTGGCACATAGTACATGTGGAGGTCAGGGGCAACTTTTGGGAATTGGCTCTGCCCTTCCATCATGTGGATCCCGGGGATTGAATTCAGGTTGTCAAGTCTTTTTACAAGAGTTTTTACCTGCTGAGCTGCCTCAGCAGCCCCACGCTTATCTTACATATGTGTGCATTTTCAAAGGACTCTTTCACACTCTTTCAATTTCTTCTTACATACTCTAAATTGAAAGTCGCTTAGAAATTAACCAATGTTTTATCTGGCCTTGACAGTGACTTCTTTGAAAATTTTATTTAGCATTGTAAATACACATATATAGAAATATTTACATGGTAAGTAATATATATATCTATATATAGATATAGATATATATGTAAAATACACACACATATATATATGAATATATATATATATATATATATATATATATATATATATATATTCACACAACAGAAAATATATATATCCC